TCTCTCTCTCTCTCTCTCTCTCTCTCTTTAGAACCCAGTGAAAAACACCAGAAGATTGAAGTTTCAACCCTTTCTTATGATAGGTCATTAGTGCTTTAAGCAGATGATATTAGCAGCTTTGACTGCAGCATTAGTAATTAGGAAAAAAACGTTCCCTGCGGACATGTAACTTTGCCATCAGTTTTGATGTGGAAACACTGTGATATATAAATGTTGTTGGACAACAGTAGTTTTAAGATGAAAATATGAAAGGTTTAAAAGGTTGAAAAAAAAAAGCTAGCTCTGTCCTTTACTTATTGAGACACTTTAACGTTTTCCTTTGTATTTCCATTGTATTAGATAAATAAATGTGAATGTAAAATTGTATAAATTACTTACTTGAATACTTCTGTTCTCCCAGTATTGCTTGCTGGATATTTTAGTGCCTTGGACTTCTATTGCTTTTGCCATTAGCATCAACTTCTCATCAGACCCCAGATCAGCAAAGGGCATGTGGGAGGAAATCTAAGGCCCAGGTGACCCCAGCAGTGGGTTATGCCAAAGGGAAATTGAGAGTGTTCTTAAGTCATTTAACAATTTTGTCTAGAGCAGGTGTGAGATGAGCAGGTTGAGAAATTAAGTTGACATCAGTGCTTGAAAGCAGAAAGTTCTGTTTCAGGAATAGTGAGGAGGGGTGCTATAATAAAATTGGGCAATTTAAAAGATTAAAGGAGGCGTGGGACAAGTGAAAGAAAAAGACTAAGGTATGGGAGAACAAACTTGCTTGCAGTAATGTGATGCCTGGCCAGAGCCTTACTCATTGAGCTGGGCTTGAACAGACCTAGAAGAAATGGCTGAACATGGGAAGCGAGAGGGGGTTAGTTTTGAAGTTGGAAAACGTGATAGTGAAAAGTGTCACAGATGGAGAAAATTGCTCTAAAAAAACTGTTTGGATTGCTTTACTCTTGTTGCAAATGTACCAGGCATTTCTCAGCTTGGGGTATTGTATTTTTGTGGAAAGTGGAACCACATCTGAAGTAAGCATTATAGGAAAGAATCAGATTCTTCCTGTTCTTCTCCTATGTCCAAATGGTTGCAGGATCATAATCTGTTGTGCCACCTTTATTTCTGCAATTGCAACTGATATTCTCACATTTCATTTTAACAAATATTCTCCTTAAGTAATAACTGCAACCAACCAGTGTTATTTAGTGCTATGCCTAGTTATAATGGGCAGTTCTATTATTTTTCAGAGCTTTCAGGAAATACTCTCCTAATTGGCTAACTGGGGGTCTCTATTATCTCTGAAGATGGGGAAAAAGTTAGGACTCTTAATTTTTTGGGTGCTTCTTGTCTTGACTCTTGAGTTGGGAAATTGACATATTTCCAACCTCTTACCCACCTCAACGGCACATCCCAGGAATCACCACAATAGGAAGAGCCTGTTTGGCTCTCCTATCCGGTTGTCCCTTCATGGGCCCTGTTTCTTTACATTAGCCTAGGCCCCAATGATGCAAATGAGAGCTGAAGGTTTTAGGAAGGTAGAAATGAAAAGGGGAGAGGTTCCAAGCCCTCCTTCAAAATTGTTTACTTATTCTCTGCTTATAATTCTTGGGGAGATGGTAAGAGTAAGGAATAGAACAAAGAAGGTGGCCAAATTAACGAGAAATGGACTACCTGAGACAAATGAAACAATACGTTTTACTAGAGAAACAAACAAGCCAAATGCAGCACGTTGTTTGTTATTTTGGTTCAATAATTTTGGGATCTCTTCATTCACAAAAAAGAAAGAACTGGTTTTATTTACTGTTGATTTTTTTTTCCTTCCTGTGGATGAAATAACTGAAGCCTAGAAGATGAACTAGCTACTGAAATGTTTAAATTATTTTTGTGTTAATAGTACACTTTGAGTATCTTTTTCCACATTAAAAAATCTTTCTGAATTATAAATGTTTTCCTTACATTATTTAACAATGTATACTGTTTAAAAAAAAATGAATAAACAATTCAAACCTTGGGTTTCTCCACAGCCGTTAATTGTACATTTTGCACTAACTCTGGGTGTTGCGCTTCTTGTAAGATTGCGCTTTGTGCTTCAGTTTGTAACCTTTGTAGACTTATTTAATGAAACCATTCAAATAAACCAAACTTGCTTTTGATGAGTTGTGGGGTTTCATTCCCAACCAATTCATTTTTCATGATTTCATCAGCTGTTTTGTGTATAATTTATAACTGGATTCCTAACTTTAGTGGCAGTTCTGACCTGAACTATGGTTATGCTGCAGACAAAGATGATATTCTGAAGATGATAAGAATATCAAAATCAAAAGATCGCTATATAACCAGAACTGCACAATAGGTGAGATAAAAGAGAAATTGGCTCTAGCCAGTTTTGCTCAGTGGATAGAGTATTGGCCTGTGGACTGAAGGGTCCTGGGTTTGATTCCGCTCAAAGGCACATACCTCGGTTGCAGGCTTTTTTTCTGGCCTGGGCCCTGGTCAGGGCTCATGCAGGAGGCAACCAGTTGATGTGTTTCTCTCACATCAATATTTCTCTTCTTTCCCTCTCTCTTCCACTCTCGTTAAAAATCAATGGAAAATTATCCTCAGGTAAGGATTTAAAAAAAAGAAATTAGGGTAAGCCACTGCCTCTTCATCTTCCCAAGAAATAGAAATGGATTACTGCCTTCTGTTCTTTAAGAGTTCCTTGCCTCAGGTTCCCAGCTTCCCACAAATGAATGTTATTCAAAAAAATAAAAGCCACTGCTTCAAGATTAGATTAAAAGGTACAGCCCAAAAATGCACCTTAAAAAGTAGACTTGCAAACTCATTATTTGAGAGAAAGAATTATGAAACATCTACAAAGCATGATGGGAAAACAATTTATTGTTAAGATGGGTTTATCACACATTTGAATGGGGAACTATATACAGCAACCTACATTTTCTATTTTGTTACCAAATAATGGGTTTATTTTGTGTTCTTGAAATTCCTTTTCTTTGGCTTTACATCATTGTCCCCCTAATTAAATGAGAGATTAACATGGATGAAGATCAGCCTGGACTCTGATGCACAGGAGTCAAACACCACTCCACACTTTGTTCCAAGCCCTTGTGTGGGCAACATTGAAACTTGGTGCCCTAATGTGAAAGGCAGAGACACCCAGTAATGTAGGTCGTTGTTAAAAGCTGGTGCTTCACAGTATGGCTTATGTTACTTTCAGCCACTGGTGATGCCTAAAAGTTCTGTATTTATTAATATAATAGTTAGGAATAAATAATGAGCATCAAGAGCCCAAGAAAAGGTATTTAATCTATCCAAAGCCTACTCAATGTGCAACAAGCTTTTCTTTTTTTCAGGTTTTAAAACTTTTTATTTGCATATTTAAAAAATTGTGCATTCCAATAATTAAAATCATTTGAACAAAAAAAAAAATGGCACTCTGATTAAACTGCATTTTACAGCCCGCAGGACCCCTTGGACCAGCTTGGTTTTAACTCTAGATTTCACCTTCGTCCCACCCAGCTCGTTCCTTCACCAAAATGCAAGTTGTCCCCCTTCCCCACCAGCCAGGCAGGCAGATGGGAGCGGCAGGTGCGGCCTTCGTCGTCAGTAGTTCTGATGTGAAAAGGGGCAGCACAGTCACTTAAACTGATCCCACCTCTTTGCATCTTACAAAGTTAAACAGCTAAAAGAAGTAAAATAAGGCAATGCTTGTGGAATGTACAGTGCATATTGGCGGCGTGTGCCTCATTATGATTCGCCTGCTTGCTTCTCCTGTTCAATCGTTTCTTTTGAAGGGAGTGAATTTTTCTCTTGTGTTTCTGTCTTCTTCAATTTCGACTTAGCGAATTTCTCAATCTCAGCCATATCGGGTTTGTCAGACATGGTTGCAGAGGACGCCGAGCAAGGTGCACGAATGAGAGAAGTCCGATCTCGGGGACCGCCGCCGAGGCGCAACAAGCTTTTTTTAGTACTTGTTTTGCAGCTGCTCAGCTTTATCTGCAGTAGGCTCCAGTAGTCAAATCCTCTGGAAAAGTTCAGAAGGAAGCCAAGTAAATCCTTGGACATAAAGCTCATTCCCTAGGAATATAATGAACACTTTCATGGCCAAAAAGCAGTTTTCTAAAGTCCCTCTGTGAGAGTCTGGTGAGGTGACCTGAGCCTCTGTTAAGATGGATCCAATTTCCTTTTCTTCAACTCCTGGTTCTTCCTGTAGGAATCACAGTTTCCTATGCAAGAGAAAGCTGTTAAAATATAGCTGCCATGATTTTAAAATGAACTCACAGCTAGTAATTTCTGAATTAATGATCCTAATAAACTAAAAACCTAAGAATGAAAATTGTTATGAAGACATCCCTCTGTTAACTCTAGACCAGATTGTAAGTAATCATGACGGGCCCACTTTTCATAGTAAAAGCTCCTAATGCAGTCATGCCTAAGCTTCCCACTAGGATTGCAAAGCACAAGTTCTGGCTCTCAAACCAGTTATCTTCTATTTTCTGCTATTCCTCTGTCATGATTCTACCCAACTTTTTTAAATGGAATGCTATTCCACCTTTAAAATTCATAGAACTAAACCCAGGTTCTCCAATATCTGTTCCTAAAACACTTTGCTACCTATTATGTATTGGTTAACGCTGGGAGTTTGGAGGTGCGATTTTGCTTGTGGATTCTGGTGGCAAAGGCTTTGTGGGGTCCTGCTCCGGGTCACCATCTGGTTCTTCAGGACTGGTGTGGCAGCAGTCTGGTGTGACTCTGGTATAGACAAGGGCTTGACAGCACCGTCCCCTGCATCGGGAACCATATCCCATATTTCAAAACTGTCTGCAAAGACAGATCACAGGAAAATGTAGTACCAACAAAGAGGGGAGTGTTCTCACATAAAGTACTGGAAAAGCAGGTCATAAGAAATCACATATCTGCCGAAACCGGTTTGGCTCAGTGGATAGAGCGTCGGCCTGCGGACTGAAAGGTCCCAGGTTCGATTCCGGTCAAGGGCATGTACCTGGGTTGCGGGCACATCCCCAGTGGAGGATGTGCGGGAGGCAGCTGATCGATGTTTCTTTCTTGTCGATGTTTCTGACTCCATCTCTCTCCCTTCCTCTCTGTAAGAAATCAATAAAATATATTTTAAAAAAAAGAAAAAGAAATCACATATCATGAGTGCCCAATGACAGTTTATAGATTCTCTCTCCCCAACTCCTAAAAGTGCATTGAAACTTCTGTTAGGACAGACAGTAAGGGAGCTAAATCTGTGCTACCGTCAGAACTATCAATACACTCTGGGTCCTCTTTCTCGTAAAACTTCATGGGGCTATAAAGCAGAAGGGATTTTTATACCTTTTTTTTTTTAAATCATCACCTGAGGATATTTTCCCCATTGATTTCCAGAGAGAGTGGAAAAGAGAGAGAGAGAAACATCTGTGTGAGAGAGGTACATTGATTGGTTGACTCCCATATGTGCCTCTACCAGAGCTGGGGAACCTGCAACTGTGGTATGTGCCATTGACCAGGAAGTGAAACCACGACCTTTCAGTCAGAGGACCGATGCTCCAACCACTAAGCCAAACCGGCCAGGGCTTTTATGCCTTTTTTAAAATGCATTTCTAACTAACCAAGGTATCCAGTACAGTAACTTACAAGCAATTCGTAGGTATTTCCTGATTAATACTTAGCATCCTTTTAGCATATACTGACCTGCAGGGAAGTCTTTCTCGGTGATTGGTTCTGCACCATCAGCTTTGGGAGTGCTGTGTTTCAAAGGTGGCACCAGTGGCTCTGCTACACAGGAGAGACCACAGAACTCAACTGTGAGGGGGCAGCCTCAGAAGTGCAAAGCAGCCTAGAGTTACACTGGTTCATAGCACAGCCAATAGCAGAATTCAACACCCTGAGTCCCAGTACCCCTGCAGATCTATATGAGGTTCAAAACAGCCTTTCCCCTACCCAACTGGGGAGGGAGAAACAGTTTATTTCTCCTTTAAGGACATAAATAGAAGGGTTATTAGAAGACATCTGGCCTAGTTTTTACTTTTTAAAGCTATAACTTTGTTCCAAGAAATTCTTAAGTAGAGATTCAATATAGAGAAACCAATATAATCAATGACTCTGAATAGGGGTGGGAGAAAGGCCTGGAGGACACTCCTCCACCCCTCGCCCTCAGGGACTCTACAATGGTCTGGAAGCTAAAGATCTAGAATAATTCTTATTAAGAACATCCAAGCACCGTAGTTGATGTGTTTTTCCCCTCTACATTAATTTCAGCCTCAGTGCTGAGGGGAATATTAATGAAAGCAAGTCCTCTATAAACTTCATAATTCTTAGGGAGAAGCTAAGCAAAAATCCCATTGATCTGGGATTAGCCCTTCTGTTTCTACTGTCTGGGAAAGACTCCAAAAATAACTTCTATATACTACTCCCACTGAATCGGAACTCTGAAATAAACAAGGTCACAGATACATAATTACCAGAAGCCCCCATTACCTTCAAATGCAAATCTTCCTTATATTCAAAGTCAGCTCAGAAAGGCTTTGTAATGCAGAGGCAGTCAAAGTAACGAGCAAAAAACCCTCTGTACCGAGAAACGTCTAGTTCCGGATTTTGTCAAGGCCCATTCCCCATCTCCCACCCACCTCCGAAAGATCAGTGTCTTTAGAAATGGGGAAAATACACAGGATTTCACTCTTAATTTTTTTTGTCTCATCTATCCTGTGTGTAACTGGAGCTCTGGTTTGGACCTAACCATACTGTGCTGGCAGAGGATCAGAGTCCTCAGACCACAAGCCTTCCCTGGGGTACTGAGGACACCTCCCTGGGGCCTCTGCTCCCAGCTTTCTCACAAACCTGGATTCTTCTTTTCAATGGATGGGGCAGATAGCTGAACTCGCTGCTGTTTCTCCATTTGCTCCCGGAACTGCTGCTGCAGCTGTTTTTGCCGGAGCTTCCGCTGCAAAGTGGCATCACTCTCCGCAGCAGAGGGCGCCAGGCTTCTGCATAGGGAGCAACAAGGTGGGAGTGAGTTCCTGAGTTACCTGAACAAACAATATACAGTTCTGAGGGGCAAACAAACCAACTTGCTGGCTCTGAAGGTAGAAATGGAGATAACTTAGTCTGCATGAGAAGGCAGAAGAGAAAGGTAGGAACTTAGGTCCTGTACCTGGATCTGCTGTCCTTATCCCCCTGCATCATGATGTGGGGATCATCTGAGTGGCTTGGTCTGCAAGGAGAGGTTGCCTCCTGTGGTTTTGTGGGCCCCAGAGCCATGTTCTGTCGGCAGCTGCTGTATCTCGCTTGTTCCACAAATGGTTCAAAATCTTGTCTCTTTGCTTTAGTTAAATCCACTTCTAGAGGCAACTAATGAAGGAAGAAAAAGGATGGATAGCTTCCTCCAACTGCTCTTCCCCTTCCTTTCTTTCCCTGCCTTAAAGACCTAGATTCCTAGAAAGCAGCATGACAATCCTCTATCCATCATGACTTCTAGGTCCTGAGAAACTCACACAAAAGATCTAACACTTCAAGTAATATTTTTAATTACATGAGGAGTACACAATTTCATTTCTACTTTATACTGGTCAGTATTAATGATTTTGATAAAAAGGAATCTTATTTTACGTTTGATTTAGGGCAAATGGTCTGTAAAATCTAATTTGAATCTTTCCTTGGCAACTGAATCTGTCTGGTGCTGTCTACATTTTATCTCTCCCTTTTTTTTTTAAATGGAAAAGATCACACAGTCTTTGTGGAAGCCTATACCTTCTCTGCCCTTTCTGCCAGAACTACCCCCTGCAAACACAATATTCATCCCGGAAAAAGCCTTGGGTATGTCATGGCACCATTACGTGTCTTTCAAATAACAGAAAGAAAAAGCTTAAAAAACCAAAACTAGGGAATCACCCAGTCGGGGTTTCTAAATCTGACCAAATGAGAGAAACAAACTGTGTATTTCATAGCACAGGGCAAACTGTTTTACTTCCTAGACATGAGCATGACAGAAACTCAGACCGTTCACTTTCGAAGAACTTCTCTCCCAATTCATAATGTGGATACTGAAACAATCATTGAAAATGAGGGATTGAGTTGATAAAGATAACCTGAAAATGAAAATTACACTGAAATTTCTTATCTACATGAGAAAGTAAATGAGTAGGTTAAAAAGAAATGACCTTATGCTACAACATGGGTTGAAGACATTATGCTAAGTAAAATAGCCAGTCACAAAAGGACAAGTACATATGACTCAATTTACATGGCACATAGAATAGTTAAAACCAGATAGACAAGAAAAATGGCAGCTGAATAGGCAGAAGTGTCACACACCTCCTCCTGCAGCCAAGCCAGAAAAGAAACTAAATCAGAAAACATCCACCCGGAGTTAACAAATTAGACACAGTTGAGGAGACCATTTTCAACAAGGAAGGGCAGAGAACACCTAGAGAATGCAAATTGCCAGCCATAATCCAAGTGGAACCACTCACATACCCCAGCAGTGAGTGGCGCAGTGCCTCCTGGCAGGCTCCCAGAACTCTGCAGTGAGCACTCACCAGAGTGACCTCCGGCACCAGGCCTCCTCACCAGCCCACTGAGACCCTGTATCCCAGGATCTGGCTCCAAGACCCTGCAGTGAGTACAAGCCAGGGAGAACCCTGGACCCCACCCCTACGCTGGGCCCCAGAACCATGCTGCCAGTCTGATCTAGAGCCATCCAGTGCCCACTCCACTCCAAGCCCCAGGACCTGCTGCCAGGGCGACCCCGAGGAACCCAGTGTGTTCCCCACTCCGGGCCACAGGAGAGCTCTGACTGTGAAACCCAAAGCAACCGGCGCCTACTACACCCTGGGGCTACCCAGAGCAACACAGTACACACCTCACTCCAGGCCACAGGAAAGCGAGAACAGTGCGACCCAGAACAACCAACCATGCTCCTCACTCAGGGCCACAGGAGAGCTCTGACTGTGCAACTCAAAGCAACCTGTGCCCACTCTACCCCGGCCACCGGGACAGTCCTGCTGGAGCTACCTGGAGCAACCCAGCACATGCCTCACTCCAGGCCACAGGAAAGTGAGGACTGTATGACCCAGAGCAAACCACCCACACTACACACTGGGGAGGGGCTAACTAGAGCACCCCAGTGCATGCCTCACTCTGGGCCACAGGAAAGTGAGGAATGTGTGACCCAAAGTAACCCAGCACATGCCCCACTCTGAGCCACAGGAGAGCACTGCTGGAGAAAACCAGAGCAATCCAGTGTGCCCAGCCAGGGGCCACAGGACTGTGCAGCAAGTGCGCTGACAGAGATATCTAGGGTGCCACCCTGCCACGAGTGCCAGGGCTGCAAAGTGAATTGCATGTGAGAGAGCGCTGGATCCTTACAGGTAGTTGCACACCAGAGGAACTGTGCACGCGCTCCCGCCACCCCAAGCATCTGAAGTGGATAACTGAGGGACCAGATCCATGAGAGAAAGGGATGCAACTCAGAGCACAGAAAATAAAGGGGTGTGACTCAAGGCAGACCCAGCCTCTGGGCTGACAATTTCCAGACCATTGGTTTGATAGAGTCTTCAATCTCTCAAACCCCAAGCAGGGTGCCCAGGACCAGAACAGACAGCAAAAATGGGGAAACAAAGAAACAATGCCCCAAGGAAAGAAAAAGAGAAATTGTCAGAAAAGGAACTAAATCAGAGGTTCTCAACCTGTGGGTTGCGACCCCTTTGGGAGGTCGAACGACCCTTTTACAGGGGTCACCTATGACCATTGGAAAATACGTATATAATTACATATTGTTTTTGTGATTAATCACTACGCTTTAATTATGTTCAATTTTTAACAATGAAAATACATCCTGCATATCCGATAGTTACATTATGATTCATAACAGTAGCAAAATTACAGTTATGAAGTAGCAACAAAAATAATTTTATGGTTGGGGGTCACCAAAACATGAGGAACTGTATTAAAGGGTAGTGGCATTAGGAAGGTTGAGAGCCACTGAACTAAATGAAATGGAGGCAAGCAATATGTCAGAGAAAGAATTCAGAGACAGGGTCATAAGATTCCTAAACTGATTGGAACCTAAAGAAATAATGACAGAGAACTCCACTGACTTGGGGGAAAAAAATTAACACAAGCAGAGTCCCAAACAAGATGAACCCAAAAAGGCCCACACCAAGACATGTAATTACAATAGCAAACATTAATGACAAAGAAAGAATCTTAAGGGCTGTAAGAGAGAGACAGAAAGTTACCTATAAGGGATCTCCCATTAGACTATCAAATGATTTCTCATCAGAAACACATCAGGCCAGGAAGGAATAAATGAGTATACAAAGTGATGCAAAGCAAGGGACTGAATCCAAGAATACTCTATCCAGCAAGGCTATCAATCAAACTTGAAGGTGAAATCAGGAGCTTCGTAGACAAAAAAGGCTGAAGGAGTTTATCACCAAGCCAGCAACGCAAGAAATGTTAAAGGGACTTTTGTAAAAAGAAGAAATAGAAAAGGAAGAAGGAACACGGGCATAAAGAATAAAAATGGCAATAAACCTATCCTATTAATGAAAGCCTATGTGGTTGAGACATCCACACACCATGATGCCCTCAAACTAACAAGCCATCACCAGGAGGTTGCGTGTGCACCAGCGTGCACGTGTGGGTGAGAGCTTGACACTGCATGCACAGTGCGGAGATGGGTCCCATGGCTCCACGCAGTGAGGCTGGGGGTCCCACAGCTCCATGCTGTACAGAGGTGGGTCCCGCAGCTCTGGCCTACCTCTTTGGGGCAGTCCATGAAGGAGCTCTGGATGGGTGGGCGGGGCCTACCTCTTTGGGCTCCCGCACTGTGAGAGGGCACAGGCCAGGCTGGGGAGCCTCTCCTCCCCCGTGCACGAATTTCATGCACCAGGCATCTAGTCAATAATAATTTTAAACATAAATGGATTAAAAGCTCCAATCAAAAGACATAGGGTGGCTGAATGGATAAGAAAGCATGATCCATATATATACTGTCTACAAGAAACCCACCTCAGAACGAAAGACACACAAACTGAAAATAAAGGATGGGAAAAAAATTTTCAGGCAAATAAAAATGAAAAAAAAAGCTTCGGTAGCAATATTTATATATGACAAAATAGACCTCAAAGTGAAGGGCATAACAAGAGATAAGGCCACTTCATAAAACTAAAGGGATCAATACAACAAGAGGATATAACTCTGGTAAACATATATGCACCCTATACATGAGCACCCAAATACATAAAAACACTTCTAGAAGACATCAAGGGAGAGACCGACAGCAATACAGTCATAGTAGGGGACTATAATATCCCATTGACATCACTGGATAAATAGTCTTGAAAAAAATCAACAAAGAAACAGCAATCCTAAATGACTCACTAAAGCAGATGGAACTAATTAACATCTTTAGAACATTTCACCTGAAAGCAATGGAATATACATTCTTCTCAAGTGCACATGGGACATTTTTAAAAATAGACCACAAATTAGGACATAGGCTAAGTCTCTTCAAATTCAAGAAGATAGAAATCATATCAAGCATCTTCTCAGATCACAATGGCATAAAATTAGAAATCAACTACAAAAACAGTAAAAAAAAAAAAATCAAACACTTGGAGGCTAAACTGCATGCTGTTAGACAATGATTGGGTTACCAAAGAGATCAAAAGAAAATAAAAAGCATCCTGGAAACAAATGACAGTGAAAACACACCAATGCAAAATCTATGGGGCACAGTGAAAGCAGTCCTGAGAGGGAAGTTCATAGCTTTACAGGCCTACCTCAAAAAAAACAAGAAAAAATGGTAATAAATTATCTAATCCTACAATTTCAAGAATTAGAAAAAGAGCAACAAAAAAAGCTCAGGAGAACCGCTGGCCTAGAGTGAGCAGAAAGAAATAATAAAGATCAGAGTGGAAATAAATGACATAGAGACAAAAACAACAAACAAACAAACAAACAAACAAAAAACAGCAAAATATCAATGAAACCAAGAACTGGTTCTTTGAAAAGATAAACAAGATTGACAAACCTCTCGCCAGGCTCACCAAGAAACACAGAGGACCCAAATAAACAAAATCAGAAATGCAATAGCTAAAGTAACAACTGACCCCACAGAAAATACTATGGATTGTAAAATAAAAAATACTACAAACAACTCTACTCCAACAAACTAGACAAGAAATGGACATATTCCTAGAAAAATACAATCTTCCAAAACTCAATCAGCAAGAATCAAAAAACCTAAATAGGCTGATAACTACAGATGAAATTGAAGCAGTGATCAAAAAAATTTCCAGCAAACAAAAGCCTTGATTCTGACAGTTTCAAAGAGGAGTATTACCAAACATTCAAAGAAGAACTAAAACCTATCCTCCTCAGACGATTTCAAAAAAAACAAGAGGAAGGCACACTTCAAGCTCTTTCTATGAAGCCAGCATTACCCTAATCCCAATCTGAAGACAGGTCATTTTAAATAATCTAAGCAGAGAAGCAAAAAGAAGAAAGAAATTAAGAGAAGTGAGGAGAGATAAGGGACTGATAGGACACTATCACACACTATATTAAAAGAGTCTCAGAAGAAGAGAAAGAATGGGGCAGAGAAATTATTTATGGTGTTAGGAAAACTGGACAGCAACATGTAACAGAATAAAACTAGACTAGTAACAACACACACAAAAATTAACTCAAAATAAAATACAGACTTGAATATAAGACCTGAAACCATAACATTCCTAGAAAAAAAATAGGCAATAAACTGTTTACCATTAGTTTGGTAATGATTATTTAAATTTGACAACAAAAGGTAATTTACAAAAAGAGAAAAAATAAACAAGTAGAACTATATAAAACTAAAAAGCTTCTGCACAGCAAAGGAAATCATCAACAAAATGAAAACACAACCTACCAAATGGGAGAAAATGTTTGCAAATGATATACCTGGCAAGGGGTTAATATCCAAAAAATCATAAAGAACTCATATAATGCAAAGCAAAAGAACAAACAATATGATGAAAAAAATGACAGAAGATATGAGTAGATATTCTTCCAAAGAAGACAAACAGGTGGCCAATAGGTACATAAGAAGGTGCTCAACATGACTAATCATCAGGAAAATACAAAACCACAATGAGATATCATCACCTCACAGTTAAAAATGGTATTATCAAGCCCAACCAGTGTGGCTCAGTGGTTGTGCATCTACCTATGAATCAGGAGGTGATGGTTCGATTCCCTGTCAGGGCACATGCCTGGATTGTGGGCTTGATCCCCAGTAGGGGGTATGCAGGAGGCAGCCGATCAATGATTCTTTCTCATCATTGATGTTTCTATCTCTCTCTCTCCCTTCCTTTCTCTGAAACCAATTAAAAAATGTTTTAAAAACAAAATTTTTTTAAATGGCTATTATCAAAAAGACAAGAGATAACAACTGTTCATAAGGATGTGGAGAAAGGGGAACCCTTGTTCTTATACACCATTAGTGGGAAAGTAAATTGGTTCAGCTAATAGAAAAAGAGTATGGAAGTTCCTCAAAAAATCCTAATATATAAAAAGCCAGGGGGAGGAGAAACCAAGATGGCGGCATAGGTTAACGCCGGAGATTGCTGCCTCGAACAACCAATTCAAATTACACCTAAAAGACGGGACGGACATCATCCAGAGCCACAGGAAGGCTGGCTGAGTGGAAATTCTACAACTAGGCGGAAAGAGAATATCATACCCAGACGCAGAGGAGGCGCAGTGCTGAAGTGAAATTCTCAGGTGCGGAGGGCGCGCGGAGCGGGCGGGCGGCGCAGAGGGCGTGGCTGTGGTTTTCAATCGGGAGGGAGCTTCTGACTCTGAGCTCCAGAGCCGGGCGAGTCCCTAGGGACCCAGACTCAAACGCGAGAAACGGGACTGTCTGGCTTCGGTCGGAACTGGAAGGCAGCTTTCTCTCCGAGGTTTGCAGCGGTTGCTGGGACTCGGTGAGGCAAAGCCCCTAGGGACGGAACTGAGAGCAGCCATAACTGCTACCTCCACCTACCCTGTAGATCCCCTGGGACCCGACCCGCCCAAGCCCTGCCCAGAATCAGTTGCCGGATAGCCGCAGGCAAACGCTAGATTAACACCACCCTAGAGATCCAGCATAGAAGCTCTCCCACTGCAGACACAGCTGACTCTCATAGCCAGTTAGCCTGGAGGTCAAATCCCCCCCGACAACAATCAAGGCTTAACTACAAGACTGCGCACAAAGACCACTAGGGGGTGCACCAAGAAAGCATAAAAAATGCGGAGACAAAGAAACAGGACAAAACTGTCAATGGAGGATATTGAGTTCAGAACCACTCTTTTAAGGTCTCTCAAGAACTGTCTAGAAGCTGCCGATAAACTTAGTAAGGCCCTCGAAAAGACTGGTGAGACCGCCAATAAATGTAGTGAGATCCTCAAGAAATCTAATGAGACCCTCGATATTGTGATAAAGAACCAACTAGAAATTAAGCATACACTGACTGAAATAAAGAATATTGTACAGACACCCAACAGCAGACCAGAGGAGCGTAAGAATCAAGGCAAAGATTTGAAATGCGAAGAAGCAAAAAACACCCAACCAGAAAAGCCAAATGAAAAAAGAATCCGAAAATATGAAGATTGTGTAAGGAGCCTCTGGGACAGCTTCAAGCGTACCAACATCAGAATTATAGGGGTGCCAGAAGATGAGAGAGAGCAAGATATTGAAAACCTATTTGAAGAAATAATGACAGAAAACTTCCCCCACCTGGTGAAAGAAATAGGCTTACAGGTCCAGGAAGCGCAGAGAACCCCAAACAAAAGGAATCCAAAGAGGACCACACCAAGACACATCATAATTAAAATGCCAAAAGCAAAAGACAAAGAGAAAATCCTAAAAGCAGCAAGAGAAAGAAACTCAGTTCCCTACAAGGGAGTACCCATACGACTGTCAGCTGATTTCTCAACAGAAACTTTGCAGGCCAGAAGGGAGTGGCAAGAAATATTCAAAATGATGAATGCCAAGAACCTACAACCAAGATTACTTTATCCAGCAAAGCTATCATTCAGAATTGAAGGTCAGACAAAGCGCTTCACAGATAAGGAAAAGCTAAAGGAGTTCATCCCCACCAAACCAGTGTTATATGAAATGCTGAAAGGTATCCTTTAAGAAGAGGAAGAAGAAGAGAAAGGTAAAGATACAAATTATGAACAACAAATACGCATCTATCAACAAGTGAATCTAAGAATCAAGTGAACAAATAATCTGGTGATCATAATAGAATCAGGGACATAGAAAGGAAATGGACTGACTATTCTGGGGGGGGCGGGGGCAAGGGGTGTGGGAGATGCGGGAAGAGACTGGACAAAAAACGTGCACCTATGGATGAGGACAGTGGGTGGGGAGTGAGGGCGGAGGGTGGGGCGGGAACTGGGGGGAGGGGAGTTATGGGGGGAAAAAAAGAGGAACAAATGTAATAATCTGAACAATAAAGATTTAATTTAAAAAAAAGGAAAAAATAATAAAAAATATAAAATAAAATTAAATTAAATTAAAAATAAAAATAAATAAATAAATAAAAAGCCAGGGGCCCTCATGACCAAAACGACCAGATGGACTATGGAACAGCAGGCT